TTTTCTTCGATGACGAGATAATATATTTTCAAAGGCATTGAAGAAAAGAGTATTATTAGGAGAGTATCATTCTTTCATTTCTTTTATGAATTTATATTCAACAACATGGCAATGATAGATAATAAAACACTATGTTTTAAATGTAATAAAAATAAAATAACATATCCTTGTGAAGGATGTTCACAGTACTTTTGTTTAATGGATTTAACAGAACATCGTCAAATATTAAATGATGAACTAAATCATATTATCAATGATTATGATCAATTTAAAACAAGATTTAATGAACAAAAACCGAATTCAGATGATCTTTCTCTAATAAATCAAATTAATCAATGGGAAATAAATTCAATTGAGAAAATTAAACAAAAAGCAAAAGATTGCATAGAAATTGTCATTAAATCTTCACAAACATTTTTGAACGATATTGAAAGGGAATTTAATGATTTAAATGAACAAATAGAACAAATTCAAAAAGAAAATGAATTTAATGAAATTAATTTAGAATATTTAAGAAATCAATTAATGAAAATGACACAAGAATTAAATCATCCATCAAGTATTTCTATTCAACAAACTTCACAACCGTTTATTAATGATATTTCAATCATTTTATCAAAAAGTAAGTTTTTAAGAAATAATTTCGTGAATCATTTTTTATGAATTTATGTTAAAAAATTATAATAAAACAAAGAAATAGAAATAGAAAACCTAATTTATTTGTATATAAAAAAAGAATGACAAAATATTAAATTAAAAAGACATTTTCGATTAATAAAAACAACTGAATTATTTTCAAATTTTTATCTAACAAAAAATAAATTAACAAAATCTTTTCTCTTTGAGGAAAATCAAAATTCTCCTCTTCTTTTCATGAAAATCGTTTGTTTTTATCATTTTCTAGCACTAAAATTCAACAAATGGAAACAAAATGCAATCACCGTGGCTGGTGGAAATGGACAAGGACAAGAATTTAATCAGCTCAATAGTCCTGTTGGGATCTTTATAGATAAAAAGAAAAATATCTTCATTGCTGATTCTTATAATCATCGTATTGTTGAATGGAAATGTGATGCAGAAGAAGGACAAATCATTACAGGTGGAAATGAGCAAGGAAATCAAATAGATCAATTAAATCGACCAGCAGATGTAATTGTTGATCAACAAAATCATTCGATCATCATTGTTGATTCTTTGAACAGACGAGTGATTCAGTTGTTGAATCAAAATGCACAAATTCTAATTGATAATATTATTTGTTTGGGCTTGACAATGGATAAATATGGATTTCTTTATGTTTCTGATTTTTGGAACAATGAAGTGAGACGATGGAAAATGGGAGAATACAACAACGAAGGAATTATAGTAGCTGGTGGAAATGGCAGAGGAAATCAACATAATCAACTCAATCGTCCTACTTCTATCTTTGTTGATGACGATCAATCTGTTTATGTATCAGATTTGCTCAATCATCGTGTAATGAAATGGAGAAAAGATGCAAAAGAAGGAAGAATTGTGGCTGGAGGAAATGGTCAAGGAAGAAATTTCAGTCAATTGTCAGGACCTCGAGGAGTAGTTGTTCATGATTTGGATCAAATTTATGTGGCGGATAGTGGAAATGATCGAGTAATGCTTTGGTGCGAAGGAAACGAAGAAGGTGAAATTGTTGTTGGCGGGAATGGTCAGGGAAATCAATCAAATCAATTGAATCATCCTAGTGGTTTATTTTTTGACGATGAAAGAAATCTTTATGTTGCTGATGAATTGAATCATCGACTAGAAAAGTTTGAAATAGTTCTGTGAATAAATTTTTGATTTTCAAAAAAGAAAAGAAAAAGTCAAGTTTTATTATTGAATATGAATAAGGAAATCGAATAAATTTTTGAAGAAAAAGAAGTATTTTGATAAGAAAAAAACGAAGAAAAATCTTTTTAATAGTTGCTCTTTAAAATTGGATTGAAAAATGGTTTTCAAAATAAAAACAAATTAATGAACATTTTCATTGAGATGAAAACAAAGTAAAAAGAATTTCGAAAAAAATGAAGAAAATATTTGAAATACAATTGAAAATTAAAAAAGTTTTGTAAATGATACAAAATTCAAGTTTGATTTTTAATTTTAAAGAGTTTTGATTTCTTTCACTAAAACTTACAAAGAGATTTGTTTTATTCTTCAAACAAATTAAAATAAAGATTTTAGAATTTCTTTATTATATTTAATTGAATGAATAATTAGAAATATTTTAATAAATTACAAAAAATATTTTTTATGAGATTAAATTTAGTTGAAACTGATAAAAATGATTAAGTTTCCTGATGAAATCAATTTTTTAAATATTTTTAGATTAGTTTGCCAACAATACGTTCAACTCTTGGAAAATGTCTTTTTTTTGAAAATATTAAAATATTTTTTAGATGAATTTATTAAATTCAATTATTTTGATGATGAAATTAAAATAGTAATATTCTCAATAATTATCGATTAATATAAATTTATATGAGAATAATTTAATTTTTTTTTTATTAATAAATCATATTTTGATATTTAAATTTCGTATTAAAAAGAATTCATGAATAGATAGATATTATCTATTATTTTGTAGAATTGTAAACATTGGTAATGATTTGAATAAAATATGAATTTGTATCAATGAAGGATTTAATGTTACTGTTTAACAATAAAAGATTATTAAATTGATTAATTAGAGAATTTTTATGTGATAACAAAGATAATTTGAAAAATATTAATGAAAAAAATATAAAAATCGTTTTTATAAATATTATTATTATTTTATTCAACCGTATTGATAACTATTCAAGATTTAATCAATTATATTAAATTTTATTAGATAAAAATGATTTCATATGTATTAATATATTTATTTGAAAATTTAAGCATGATAAATAGCAGATTCAACTACATAGGATACTAGAAAAATCCACATTCACCCTCCAAAAAGAATTTACGATTTGAGTAGAAAATCTTTTATTTTTCTATGAGTTGTTCTTTTATTGATTAATCATACATAAAAGAACAACTTGAATAAACTTATATTCATCTTAGAATACAGATTTTCTTATTATAAGTTAAAAAGATTGAACAAATATTTAAATCAAATAAAAAATTTCATACCTAAATTAACAAAATTAAAAACATAAAGAATATGACTATTAAATTGTTCTCTACTACTACGATTCTTATATTTTATGATATGTGCACAATATTAATAGCAAAAATGAAAATAAAGTCAAACAATAATAAGATGAATGTATGATATATTCATTAGTTCTCATTCACATTGTCGAGATCAAGTTATTTTACTATGTGATATGGACAAAACTGAAAATTCATGTATGAATATTATTTTTATTTCATTCTTATCCAAAAGACTTTGATTGTTCATTATTTGAAAAATTCAAATCAATGGTTTTTTACATGTGATCTGTGATAAAGTACATACATAAAACTATCAATTTTGATATATATTCACATGTAGAAAGTATAAATAATGTGATTTCAAACTCTAATAGATACTATCAGATCAGAAATAAATTTAGGCAGGCGAATTTGAAAACGAAAGACCAT